GACCCCGCCAAAGTGTCACCGACCCTGCGAAAGTGCCACTGACCCCGTGAGATGCCACCGACTTCACAGAAGTGTCACTGACCCCACGAGGTGCCACCAATGCCGTAAAGTGTCACTGACCCCCACTGACCCTGCCAAAGTGTCACCGATCCCATGAAGTGTCACTGACCCCGTGAGGTGCCACCAACCCCGTAAAGTGACACCGACTCCCACCGACCCCATGAGGTGTCACTGACCCTGCGAGGTGCCACTGACCCTGCAAAAGTGTCACCAATCTCGCTCCCATGTCATCCATCCCGTAAGATGTGGATCATGCCCTTGCCAGTGCCACTGACCTCGTGCCAGTGCCACCAACCTCGTGCCAGTGCCAAGCACGGTCATTTTCGTGCCAATGCCACCGACCCCTTGCTCAGGTTTCTCCCCGTGCAAGTGTGATCATTCCCGTGCCAGTGCCACCGGCCCCGTGCAAATGTGGCTCTCCCCGTGGCAATGCGACCGTTCTGGTGCAAACACCACCGTGCCCGTGCAAATGGCACTGTCCCCATCAAACACAGCCCCGGTGCAAATGTGACCCGGCCCTGTGCAAACACAATGACGTGCGGGCACGTCCCCGGTGCAAAAGGGACCCCCGTGCAAATGTCACCGGCCCTGTGCAAAGGCAGCCCCGGTGCAGGTGTGACCCGTCCCCGTGCAAGCACGACCCCGGTGTCCCCGTGCCAATGCGACATTGCCACCCGTCCCCGTGCACACGCGACCCTTCCCCGTGCGGCCCCGGGGCCGCTGCGTGACCCCGCGGGGCTGGGGGTGACCCTGGGGGGCTCCTCTGTGGCTCCCCGCACCCCCCAAATCCACGGTGGGGTCTGTCCCGGGAGGGCGGGGGGAGCACCGGGGGGAGATGCTCTAAATGTGGGGGCCAGACTGGGGGGCGGGGAGGGGGAGATTTGGTTTGGGGGGGACACGGGAGACTGGAACAGCGGGAGAGATGATGGAGGGCAGAAGAGGGGGGCAGGTTTTGGGGTATCCGGGAGGGGGGGGCAGATTTGGGTGGGGGGCAAGTGGTAGGGTGTAATCTGGAGGAGACATTCGGGGGGGACCGGTTGGGGGCCAGCGGGGGACTCCTCGCCTCGCCCCCGCCCCCAGCCCGGGTCTTTTCCCCCAGGCCCGGAGCATTTCCCCCCATCCCCTCCCCCGGTACCGGCAGCGGTGAAGGTCACGGGCGGACGGACCCCCCCGGTGCTGCGGCGGGGATGAGGGGACATCCCCAGAGGGGGGTCTCCGGGGGGACCGCGGTGCCCGGTCCCCGCGAGGCGGCACTTACCGGGGGCGGCGGGGCCGGGCGGTCCCGGAGCGGGGCCGGTACGGAGCGGAGCCGAGCGGGGCCCCGGCGCTCGCTGCCACCGCGCAGCGTCACGTGCGGCGGGGCGGGGCGGCCCCTCCGGGGGCGGTGGGACCGGGAACCGGTAACGGGAACCGGGCACAGGACCGGGGAACGGCCGCGGGCAGCGGGAGCAGACCACGGGCCACGGGCACCGCCAAAACGGCACCGGGAGCTGAGATGCGGAACTGGGGATCCCCCTCTCCATCCCTGATGTCACCCCCGGGGTGTCCCCTCCTTGCCCAGCGCCCCGGGCCCCGCAGAGCAGGGACCCACCCAGACATCTCCCTGTCCCCCCGGACCCATCTCCATCCCCTGCCCGCAGCTGGCACCCGGGTACCGCTCTGCCCATCACCCACACCTCCCCAAATTCGGCTCACGGGGTTCTCTCCCAGAGCTGGCTCCCCCCTTCCCCTCTGCCCACCCCTGGCTCCCGGCAGGCCCCGCTCATCCGTGCCCCCCATCCCTGCTACTCAGGGCCCCCCATCTCCATCCCTGGTGCCCAAGCCCCTCCTCCCACACCTCTCCATCCCTGGTACCCGAGGAACCCCCCC